TGGTAAACCCTGAATTCATGAGCTTCCAGAGAACAAAAGGCTCATCAGGAAGAGGAGAGGGAAATTTGGAGGTAAGAGGCCATCAAGTCACCTCAAGGACCGGAAGTTCATGTGAAGTACAAGAGAAACAGCTGTCTCTGAAAGGACTGCAGAGAAAGTGGTAACAGTAAAAGCCAGCGTCGTTAGGCACAAAGTTGGGCATGAGAGACTAGGGAATGGCCACCAAACCCGCCTCCAGGGGAGAAACCAGTGACTCTGCTATCTGCCCCAGCCCACCAAGACCACCCACTTCATGGTTTAGCTTCTGGTTTAATTGTTCTGATAAAATGGGAACTCAGCCAAACCAGAAAAGTCTAGTTCATGGTGCATGTGGAACGAAACTCAGATTGACATTAGAGTGACCTTGCTTCATTATATGATCATTATCATACAATTAGCATGTGGTTTTCCCTCCCCCATCCCTAGTGGGCATTCCCAATGCATACTGGGAAGTGGGCAGAGCAAAGAGTCCAAAGACACGCAACTTCCAGAAGAGAAGTCAATCAAAAATGCCAATTATGAGCATGATGGCCACGTCACATCAACATCCCTCATACTTTAGCCTCACTCAGGAAGAAAGGAGGCCATGTTTTTTCTCAATTGGCTCATTCCCTTGGAATGTGCTTTAATAAACTTCGCTTTACTATCCCTACTTTTGTCTCACTGTCCCATAAGTCATTAGCCTGCCAGTGGAAAGAACCAAGCCCAAGGCAGCCCCATAACAGTGTTACTTAAACAAGAACGAGACAAACACAACCAGATGAGGAGTAGGGGACATGGGCAGTGCACTTACGATGGCCCATGGGTTCCCTAGGGCGGAGGGCGTGAGGCTGGATGGACAGGACGGGGCAGGAGACAGGGTTAGAAGAAGAGAAGGACTGTCTTTCAAATGATGTAATCTGGGAAGCCAGTCTTTTAATAGACGAAACGTTTAAGGTAAAGAGAGATGTTAAATTTGTTGGAAATAGCCCTGGGAATCCTCTAGTCCTCTACTTGTGCCACTGAGGAGAGACACTGGCCTTCTGGAGCACTCAATTGCTCAAGACACAGCCAGAAGAGATGAAGAAGTCCCTTCTGCTGCACTGGCTGTCCCTTTGTGTATGAATGTTTTAACCTCTCATCAAAAAGACCAAGGACTATGCTGAAAACTCAATAAGGCAGTTACCTGAGAGGCTGAAATAAAAGAAATGCTTCAGGAAAGTTCCTGGGCACTATTGCTGTTTTCTGTCTCCTTTTTTCCCCTTAAAGATCTCTATCTATCTATCTATCTATTTATCGAAGAGTTAGAGAGTTCTTCCACCTGCTGGTCCACTCCCCAAATGACTTCAACAGCCAGAGCTGGACCAGATCAAAGTTTGGAGCCTGGAACTCCATTCAGGTCTCCCAGGTGGGTGACAGGGGCCCAAGCACTTGAGCCATCTTCTGCTGCTTTCTCAGGACTTTAGTAGGGAGCTGGAACAAAAACAGAGCAGCTGGGACTCGAACCTACACCTATATGGGATGTCGGCATTGCATGTAAGGCTTAACCCACTATACCACAATATCAGCCTCTCTGTCTTGTTTTTAATACTCCTTTTCTTTTTTTTTAACTTTTAAAAACTTCTGGTTCATCAGAGAGACAGAGTTATCTTCCATCGACTGGCTCATTCCCCAAATACTCACAACAGAGCCAGGGTTGGGTCAGGCCCAAGTCAGGATCCCAGAACTCAGTATGGGTCTCTCACATGGGTGGCAGGGAACCAAGGACTTAAGCCAAGTTTTACTGACTCCTAGAATATACATTAGAAGGAGCCTGGGGGCCAGTGCTGTGGCGTGGTGGGTAAAGCCATCGCCTGCAGTGCTGGCATCCCATATGGGCACCAGTTCAAGTCCCGGCTGCCCCACTTCTAATCCAGCTCTCTGCTATGGCCTGTGAAAGCAGTATAAGATGTTCCAATTCTTTGGGCCTCTGCACCCACGCGGGAGTCCCAGAGGAAGCTCCTGGCTCCTGGCTTCGGATTGGCGCGGCTCCGGTCATTGCGGCCAATTGGGGAGTGAAGACCTCTCTCTCTGACTCTCTGCCTCTCCTTCTCTCTCTGTGTAACTCTGACTTTCAAATAAATAAATAAATAAATATCTAAAAAAAAGAAGGAGGAGGAGCCTGGACTCAAATCAGGCACTCTAATATGGGATGTAGGTGTCCCAAGCAGCAAGCTAAGGGCTGAACCAAATGCCCAACCCCCATCCCTGGCTTTTTAAATGTACAAATTGATATAATTGGTGTTTTTAAAAGGAGTGGGGAGGAGGAGGAAATGGAAAGAACAAGCCCTCTGAAGGCACAAGGTTGTTCTTCCCCACTTGTCAGTCTGGGATGACCTTGGGCTCCATCCTGTATCTAGTCTGACCCAGCTGCTGTTAATTTTCTGGACACTGATCACTGCTCATAGCTAAAATCTTTAAATTCTCAGATGAAAAAATAAGCATTAAAAACCTGTTAAATTTGAGGAGGCAGAGGCATAAACGAATTAGTAACATAAAGAAAAAGAACTAAACAAAGATACCGTGTGACTATTTTGATTAAGGAAGTAATTTCCTTTAATAAAAAATTAAACTGACCATTAGTTCTATGTGTTTTAAGAAACCTGATGAGAGTTCCTGTATTTATATCAAACAAATTAGCTTTCCAAATGTAAAGGTCAGTCATTTTAATAGTTGATTTTTTTTACTTTTTCCAATTATCAGAGCAACACATGTGGAAAATAAGAAATAATAAAGTGCCATTATGGTAATGTTATAACGTATTACAGAAAAGCAAGAAAGAAGTCTCTTGGGAAATTCGATAAATAGGTAGCTTAATGAAATGAATATTATACTGTGTTACTGTCTAGGCAATATTTATTTTAATTTGGAAATGGGAAAATTAGCTCTAAAGAAGTTTATTTTCTAAAGATATTTTACCCAAATAACTAAATTTATAGTGATACGTGTTCATCCAGATGTTCTAAGAGCTGCAAATCCCACCATATGCCCGGCACACACTTGGAATCCAAATGAACCAATGCTCTCCGCTCAGGCCCAGGTTGGCCCTCAACCCTCTGGAGTGGAGAGGTAAGTTGATGACCCTCAAACTAACCCCTCCATGAGTTAGAAAGAACCTGATATCCCTAACATTGGAAAAAGAGGGAATAACAGAATGTTCCCATTGTAGCAAACATACTTAATTCTTTTCATGTACAAACCACAGAGAGGAATTTTTGAAAACATATGTCATTAGTTAGAAAGATTTTTGTCTTTGGGCATCAAGCCAAACATGTCTCTCACAAGCCAAATTTACTAAATTTCAATCAACACTCAACATCCGCAAGCAATTGGCCACCTAGTCTGTGAAGTAAATTTGGGTAGATTCTTTGTTTTAAAATTCAGATACTTCATGACCTTCTCAAGGAGACCGATAAAAGTTCAAGTAATTAAGACTGTGTGATTGCAATAGATTGAAGACATTCTATATATTATCTATATATTATCTTAACTGGTCTGCAAGTGAGTCAATGTTATTGCTAGGTTAGAAAAATCAAATGGAATAATGAATATGAATTGACTGTTTAAGGGAAGAATCCTACTCAAGCTATGGGAAGTAGTGGGTATTTTAAGTTTATACCCTCAAAGTAGCTAAGGAAATTCAGGCCTTGTGTGAACAAGAACTAGACTTGAAAAGACTATGTCACTATGACACTTTTCCATCACACAGCAGCCACATATGTATTAGCTTGGCCCTTACCTCTTTCCTCTATTCCCTCTTTCTCTGTGATTACATGTAACAAATAAGGCCACGACTCAGAGGTTTGCCTGAGCTCATGAGACGAGTGACTATCATTGATTGTTTCAATCTCTTAGGATCCACAATTCCAGGTTTAGTGTAGGTCATACATCCAATGCTGCTCCAATCAGCTATGGTATAGAGAATGAATTCACATGATATATGGGGCTACACCTTCCAGGGATTAGAGGAAGGCAGATCCCAAGATTATAGGAAGAGAGAAGACTGTTAGCATCTCAACCGCAAAGGCCTTTGTGGTCCCACATGTTGTAGCTTCTGTACTTGGGCAGTTCCCAGCATACCACATTTGTCAGTGATTAGTCCATGGGTGAAAATTCAGTGCTGGCAAACAACCTTGGCATTGCCTTTGGGGACACCAGTATTAAAAGACTGCACAATACAACTACAAGTTAATCAAGATATGAGAGGTATAGAAGGCTCTCTTTGGGTCTCTTGCTAGTGCTATGAAATTCTCATATTCCCTACAGTTATGTCAGTGGAAAGTCAAACATCCAAACACTTCAAATCACTCTTCTTAAAAACAAAAAAGAAAAGAATACATAGTTTTGCTGCCAGCAGAAGAGAGTATACACAGTTGCTGTTGGTGTGTGCAGAATAAAAATAGATAGGTGTAGATTCCTATATCCATCCTGACTACGTCTCCTCAGCCCCTGAGCTCAGGTTTCCTTTCTATCATTCTGAAGTCCATATTATCTTTCAAGTACCAAAATATTTCAACATTTAATTCAAGACAATTTTCATTTTCCTAGCTCTCTTGGTATCTGCTGTTCTTGACTATTCTAGAACAAAGGTCTTTTCTGATTTCTATCTAGATCTTCACACAGATCCCAGAGTTCTTTGGGAGCCATTATTCAGAGTCCAGAGCCACCTTTCTGCACAGTCAACCAACCAGCATGTTATTTATTACCATTCCTGTTCACTGGTGGAAGTAAACATTTTATTACCAACAATGATACTAGGAGTAACTAAGCCCCTGATTGCTGGTTTGGATAATTATTACAATAGAGGAAAATTTAGTTTTTCTCCTTAATTTATCAGTATTCAGTCTAATCAGGTCAATGTCATAATAAGTGGCTGTGAAAATATTTTTTGTAGTAATCTCGGCTTTACATTCTACTCCTCTTTTAAATATACAACCAATGGAGGCTCGCCATATTGTGCGGCGGCGCCGGCGGCCGCGGCGGCTGGGGCGCGATTCTCGCTGCGGCCGCGGCCCGCAGAGCCCGGGCGGGGGCGGGAGCCGCCATGTCTCAGGCTGTGCAGACAAATGGAACTCAGCCATTAAGCAAGACATGGGAACTCAGTTTATATGAACTACAACGAACACCTCAGGAGGCAATAACAGATGGCTTGGAAATCGTGGTGTCACCCAGAAGTCTCCATAGCGAGTTGATGTGTCCGATCTGTTTGGACATGCTGAAGAACACCATGACCACCAAGGAGTGCTTGCACCGTTTCTGCGCGGACTGCATCATCACGGCCCTGAGAAGCGGCAACAAAGAATGTCCCATCTGTCGGAAAAAGCTAGTTTCCAAAAGATCACTCAGGCCAGATCCGAACTTTGATGCTCTCATCAGCAAAATTTATCCGAGTCGTGATGAATATGAAGCGCATCAGGAGAGAGTCTTAGCCAGGATCAACAAGCACAACAATCAGCAAGCCCTGAGTCACAGCATCGAGGAGGGACTGAAGATCCAGGCCATGAACAGATTACAGCGAGGCAAGAAACAGCAGATCGAAAATGGTAGCGGAGCAGAAGATAACGGCGACAGTTCGCACTGCAGTAACGCATCCACCCACAGCAACCAGGAAGCAGGCCCTAGTAACAAACGGACCAAAACCTCTGATGATTCTGGCCTCGAGCTGGATAACAACAATGCATCAGTGGCCATCGATCCAGTGCTGGATGGGGCTAGTGAAATCGAGCTAGTGTTCAGGCCTCATCCCACGCTTATGGAAAAGGATGACAGTGCACAGACAAGACACATAAAAACTTCAGGTAATGCCACTGTTGATCACTTATCCAAGTATCTGGCTGTAAGGTTAGCTTTAGAAGAACTTCGAAGCAAAGGAGAATCAAACCAGATGAACCTGGATACAGCCAGTGAGAAGCAGTATACCATCTACATCGCAACAGCCAGTGGCCAGTTCACTGTCTTAAATGGCTCTTTTTCTCTGGAATTGGTCAGCGAGAAGTACTGGAAAGTGAACAAGCCCATGGAACTTTATTATGCACCCACAAAGGAGCACAAATGAGCTTTTAAAACCAATTCCGAGACGGAACTTTTTTATAGCCCAGTTCTTTCATATTAAAGCTGTACCATCATTGCTTCTGAGGACAGATATTGGATTGTTCAGTTTCCTTTCTGAGCCAGACTCGCTTACACTGGGAGAATCTTTCCCCCTTAATTTAAGATTTCCTTTTGGAAGGGACTGCCATTATTCAGTACTTTTTCTTTTAAAAAGACATCTAAGTTGTGTGCTTTCACAGAGCGTGGTTCCATTTTGGAGCAACTTTTTTACCCAGGAAGTTTGATAGTTTTCTGTATTCTTCAGATTCAGTTGGTCTTCTTTTCCCCACTCCTTTCACAAGTTTCTTAGGCCTATAGAATGTTAAATAATATGTATTCTGACTTTTTCCCCCGAAGTCTTGTATATTTATAGTTTTCTATATAAACTAGAGAATCTTCATGAAGACCAAGGCTCAAATTTACTGTGCTTAAAAACAATTCTCATAGGATTATTATTTTCATGGTATTTTCTTCCATAATTCATTTTAAAAAGATGTTCTTTATGAACTTACTGTCCATTGTAATGCAATGTTATTTTTCCCCCTTATATTTTGGAATTTCTGGTCCTGGGGAAGAGAATCAAACAAAATCTTAGGTTCTATGAGAACTTGGTTCAATGACAGATTTCACTGAAGAAAGACAAATTAAATTGGTAGTAATATGTAGTCTTCAAGTGTTTATTTAAGATTTTTTTTTTGGTATTCTGTCACTTCAGTTCTTTTATTATGTATGTTTGATGTTTTTCCTGTTAAAATACCAGAGATGTGGAGATATTTTGCACTTTAGCCTTGATGGAAAGTACAAGATACGTTGAAAGCTTCCCTAATTGTTTTCTTACCTGTAGCCACGTGAGTTTTAAGAATAACATGGCACATAGAACTAACAGTCGGAGTGTGCTTCTCTTTGAGAAGTGTGTTTAGCATTTTGGGCTGCCGTTTCAGCATATAAATCTGGTGCTCTGCTAATACACCGTCGAAGCAGGTTCATGGAGCGGGAGCCCTGTGCTGGATATGCAGAGGCAGGTAATTCTGCAGCAGTGTCAGCCGGTCAGTCCTTTTGTTCTGCTTCAGCTTTGTTACGGAGCTTATTGTTGGGTGTCCATACAGCGTGATTCTCACAGGTCAGACATCAGATTGACTTGTGTGTTCATGTCCATCCCTGCCCTGACTCTAGGCACGTTTCTGAGTTCGTATTATCATAGTGTTCATGAAGACACATCAACCCAAAGGGTGTCTGACAGGACACAGACCTCCAGCACCACTGTTCCTAAGGCTGTCTGGTCGCTGCGAAGAATCACCTGTCTGGTGTGACAGAATGTGTTCCATCTTCAGCCCAGTATGAAAACTTAAAGGCTTATTCAATTTTTTACCATTTTATTGAAAATATATAAAACCTGTTTTTACAGTTTTTTTGGTAATGTGCCATGAAATTTGAAAACTACCAAAAATCAAGGGAACTTTTATATTCAATTCTTTTTCTGGTGTAATGTTAAGTTGTATAGATTATTAATGCATGTCCACTGAATATAACCCTGGTTTTGTGATAAAACTGCTTAGATTTTATTGGTGACATATTAGATTAGTGATTGCATAAACAACTAAAATCCCATTGTGATTATTAATTGAAAATTTGTCTTTAAGCAGAAAGTTGTTTATTAATACAAGCTTTATGCTTAGAGAATGTATGTGTTTTTATCTGTCAGTATGGGAGTATGCATCATTAGAGAAGTCATTGGATATGTAATCCTTTGCAAAAAATTATAGGTATTTGATAGAGAAAAAAATATATACAACCAATGAAATCCTTTAGACTAGTGGACCAAAGGAGGGAATTACAAGATATTTCTTTCTTTTAAATAGACAAACTCATGGAAAAAATCTGACACTTGGTACAGTATCAAGAAATGGAAATTAAATAAATAAGTTACTTTTTATATGAAATTTACACTCATATTTAGCAACTCAAATCATCATGATTTAAAATACAGTAGAATTCATTTACTGAAAAAATGCATTTTATAAATGCATACTTTATGCAGGAATTAAGCAGGACAACTAAAAATTAAAATCATGTCCTTTGAGAACTGTAGAAGCTAATTGAGACTGGAATGCATAATAAAGAGAAATGATCACTCACAATTGGTAGGGGTCACGAATACATTCCATCTCAGCTAGAATCAATATGCCAGTTTCTACCACTTGAATGATAACTTAGCCAAGTTTAGAATTCCAGGTTGCAAATTGTTTCAGTAAGAATTTTGAATGTGCTACTATACCATCTTCCATCACCCAATTTTTGTTCATGAGAAGAACTGTTCGTGTGCAATTCGGAATCATAGACAATTTTTTTCCTTCTTGGGAGTTTTTGGAAGTTCTCTCTTTGTTCTCAGTGTTCTGAAATTTCATGATGATGTACCATGAGGTGGCTCCTGTTCTCATCTTTTGTTCTGTGGTCCCTATCCGTCACTGCCCTGGGATATTTGCTTAATTTATGTCTTCAATTACTTATTCTCCTCTGTTTTCTCTGTTTATCATATTATCTAGATGGACAAATTCTTGGACTTATTTCTAGTTTTCTTTGAATCTCTCTAGTATTTTTCATCTCCTTTACTGCCTTACTCATAATTTCCTATCAGCATGGACAAAGGGCTCAGCAAGCAGTGGAAGAAGGTCAGGGAATGTTTATCTGTTCAACAAACCATATGGTTTTAGCCCTACTTATACCTGCCTCTCTTTTTAGAACTTTGTGAAATTCATAAGACTTTCGAGGGCAGGATTCAGGTAAGCATTGTGTTGGATTTCTTATTGCCCTTCCAGTTTTCTAATTGTGTTGCTATTCCTCTTCTTCACAGATAAAGATGATTTAAATTTTTTATCCCATTCTTTTTTTCTACTGAGATTACTACTTGAATAATAATATATGCTAGAAACGGAGCTGAGCCAATTGTCAGATGCATGCCTTAACAGAGTGACAGCCTCCACATCCTGTCTCTGGTATACTCCTTATATGATTTCTGGGCTGCCAGTAAGTAGTCCAACCAGCCTGAAGGAGAGGCAACATAGAAAATCCTGACTGATACAAATGGAGAAGGTTCTAGCTGAACCCAGGCTTCCAGCTGCCTTTGCTAAGGTATGTGAGAAAAGCCCTGTTGGATACTCCAGACAGTCAGGCAGACAGAAAAATACCAGAGTGACAACTGTCAATGCCATATGGAATAGAAAAATGGCCCAGATGAACTCGGACAAAATTTTTGGCCATAAAAACTGTGAGATACAATAAAATATAAAATAGTTGTTTTAATCCATTAACCTGCAGCATAGTTAATTACATGGCAATAATTAACCATAACAATCTGTTTCTCACGTCCAAATTTTGCTGTATTTTTCCCCCCTCTCATGGTCTTTTTGTCTTTGGATTTGTGATTTTCAGTCTCCAAATTATTCTTTTGGGAGCTTTCAGTGGAGGTGGCAGAGAATGTATGTATGCTATCCATCATATTTAATGAGAAGCTGTTTCATTTTTTCTTAATCTCTTATATTCCAACCTATGATTTATTTTTGTATACTTTATTAACAGGTTTTGTTACATTTTCAAAAGCTAAATGAAAGTTTTTGGTGGCATAAGCTCTCTTCAATTAATTATATTTCCACAAACCAAAGTCATTCCAATAAAACAATTACATTCCTTCTGGTCCAGCAACACATTTGTGAGACTAAGATTGAGCCATATTTCTAGTAAAGTTTAGCCTTCATTATTCTTTTCAGAAAAAAAAAAAGGCCTAAGACAGATAACAGCAATGAATTCAATGCCACATGTCAACTCATTTTATGGGACTAAAGATACTGTCCTTTTAATAAATCTAGTTAGAGAATGTCTACTCTCATCTTCTCATCCAATTCCTGACAGGATCCATCAGTACTCAGTAAAAACTGAATCAAATTAATGCTTTGTGGCATGCATTAGCAGTTAGTAAGGTCATTCATTAGTGTGTGAAATACATGAAGCATTATAAATAGAAAGAGATGTCACACTCTGCTTCATCCCAATCACTCCTGTACCTGCCCCAAATTGTAATGCAGCCTGGAGTGTGGCCATGGGTAGGAATACAACCAGTAACAAGCACTCTAACTGCTACTTCCCTGAGAGTCAGAGCTACTATGAAAATATGGCTAAGCAGTAATCACAGTGATTTAGAAATTTTTGTGCGTCAGTAACTCTCCTAACTATGAGCCTGATTACAACAGAGAATCCAGGTGTGGGAGAAGAAGGAGGAAAGATAATTCTGTCTGTATTTCAAAGTAGCTGCCCAACAGACATTAATTCCCTACACCTCTCTTTCATCACTGATGAAGTCGCTGATGAATACTGTATGTGAAGCCAGTTCAGACGAGAGCAAAACAGAGGGATTTTGGAGGGTGCACTGTAGTTCAGTGCTTCTCAGATTTTAATAAGCATAAAAGTTACCTGAGACCTGGTTCAAAAATAGATTCTGATTCCTTGAGTCTCAATGGTAGCTGAGAGTCTGCATTTCTATTAAGATTCTTGGGATGCCAAGGACACTGGTCCACAGGACACACTTGGAGAAGTAAGACTATAGTCAGGGGTTTGGATATTTCTCTGCCCTCATTCAATTGAGAACCTGTCCTCCCTCCCTACCACCAGGCATAATAGTGACTTAAAAACAAAATTCTCAATAATGTTCCTGAAATGAGTCAGCATGAGTAGGCACCCATGAACTGGAACATAATATGACTGCCTATATGAGGTTCCTTGATTAAATGCTAGATATTTTGAAATTCCATTTTCTTTATTGTTTTTTAAAGTACTTATATAGTTGAAACAATGAAATATTTTTGAGACCTAATCCTCAGGAGCTTTGGGAAATATGAAAAGAAAATCATAGTCTCTTTTCTCCGAAGGCTTAGAAGCAGGAAAAAATATTATCTGCACAGTGTTGAAACATCAATTGCCAAACGATTATTTTGGAATACAAGTTGGAAGAGGAATGCCACATGGCTGGGGAAGTCTGGAAGAGGTCAGAAAAAGAGAGAGATCTGTGGATGTTAGAATCTTCTCCTAGTGGCACAAGGCTTTGTTGTGATGTATAGAAGAACAGAAATGGACATAAATTAACATATTTTAATTTTACTACCTTGACCTGTGTTGTAATAAGCCCATTTATCCTATGGCATAGCTCCTGGCATAGTTTACGTCCCAATGAAAATAGGATCCTATGATATTCTACTGCAACTATTGATTCCATTTTATATTAAAATCCCCTTGATTATAAGAAAGTAGACAGGTCAATTTATCCCAAAAAGCTTCAGATTCATTATCAGCTGAGGTCCAGATATACACATAGCCAACTAATGTATCCATAAGTCCTAAATCTGCAGATTCAGCCAACCTCAGACTGAAAATATTCAAAAAAAAAGTCTACTGAACATGGACAGACTTTTTTTTTTACTTGTCATCATTTCCCACACCATACAAACAAACAACTATTTACACAGAATTGGTATTGTACTAAGTGTTAAAATTAATCTAGAGATGGTTTCATTGAAACATTACATTTTATATAAGGGACTTGAGCAACTGCAAATTTTTGATATCCACAGGGATCCTGAAACCAATCCACCATGGAAACTGAGGGAAAATTGTATTTAGCTTCCACTGCCCTAACACATTTTAGAGGAAAACTGTACCATTTGGGGAACCACATTCATTTTCAGTCCAGTCCTGTTACTTCCCAATGAGTGAAGAAGCAGTCCTCACTAGAAAGTTCTCTTCTACATAAGCAATCCTTCTCACCTTTCTTCTGCATGAACACTTGAGGATAACACACGTTTCCACGAGTAACACAGAGACTGATTCTCAGGAGGACATCAGAATCATGGCAGAAAGTTAATTCTGATTAACCCCTCAGGAGGTGGTTTCTCTATAACTATATCCCACAACTCTAGC